AATCGCTTGAACCTGGGAGGCAGAGGTTGTAGTGAGCCGAGATTGTGCCACTGCACTCCAGCCTGGGTGACAGAGACTCTGTCTCAAAAAAAAAATTAGCTGTGTGTGGTGGTACACTATAATAGCCCCAGCTACTCCAGAGGCTGAGGTGGGAGGATCACTTGAGCCCAGGAGTTCCAGGGTGCAGTGAGCTGTGATTGCACCACTCCGCTGCTTCCTGAGTGACAGAGCAAGACCCTGACTCTAAAAAATAAAAACTGAAGGTAACTCAATGTCTCTTCATGCAGTTGGCCCCTTGTGGTTGTTTCTCTGAGGAGCCACTCTGCCAGGTCCTTTCCCTCTGTCCCTCCTCTGTGACCTCATGAACTTGACCTGGAAGCCTGGCCACTGTCCCTTAGTTGGATTTCTGTAGGTGAGAGGGGATGTCACTGTTTTGGAAGCAGTTGGGCCTCCCTGCAATTCTGAGCACTGCTGGGCCCTCATCAAGACAGTCTCAACTGGGCATGTGGCTCACGCCTGTAATCCCAGCACTCTGGGGGGCTGAGGCAGGTGGATCACCTGAGGTCAGGAGTTCAAGACCAGCCTGGCCAACATGCTGAAACCTCATCTCTTCTAAAGATACAAAAATTAGCCGGGTGTGGTGGTGCACATCTGTAATCCCGGCTACTTGGGAGGCTGAGGCACAAGAATCACTTGAACCCAGGAGGTGGAGGTTGCAGTGAGCTGAGATCACGCCGCTGCACTCCTCCCTGGGTGACAGAGTGAGACTCCATCTCAGAAAAAAACAGTCTCATGGGCTGCAGTGTAGGGAGACTGCCCAGATGTCTGGTTGTTGAGGTATGTCGGGGAAGCAGCCTTTGAAAGAAAAGGCATATAATTTTGGGGTCAGGCGTACTTAGCTTGAAATCCAGTCTCTGCCACTTTCTAGGTGTGTCATCTTGGCTATTTAACCCCTTTGAACCTCAGGTTTTTCATTTGCAGTGTGAGTTTAATGAATACATCTAGGTTGGTGCAAAAGTAATCACGGTTTTGCCATTACTCCCCCGCCTTTTTTTTTTTTTTTTTGAGACAGAGTCTTGCTCTATCGCCCAGGCTGGAGCGCAGTGGCGCCATTTTGGCTCACTGCAACCTCTGCCTCCTGGGTTCAAGCGATTCTTCTGCCTCAGCCTCCCGAGTAGCTGGGATTACAGGCATGCACCACCACGCCCGGCTAATTTTTGTATTTTTAGTAGAGGCGGGGTTTCACCATGTTGGCCAGGCTGGTCTCAAACTCCTGACCTCATGATCTGTCCACTTCAGCCTCCCAAAGTGCTGAGATTACAGGCGTAAGCCACAGTGCCCAGCCGCCATTCCTTTAAATGGCAAAAACCGCAATTACATTTGCACCAACCTAATACTTTTCAGGTCTGTTTGGCTGGATGAAACAAGCGATGTAAGTTACCTGACACCAGTGGACTCCCAGCCAGTGACATCTGTTTGAACAGCACCTTCATTTCCATTTGCCTTCATTGTCATCCATTTTATGAAAGAATCACAGTACTATGCATTTAGAAACCAAGGACAGTTATAGCAAATCCATCGTTTATGGCAATTTGTGCTGCAGAAAACTAGTTCTAAAATTTTTCATTTTCCTTCAGGTATTCTACCTCGACACTACCACTTCTCAAATTTATTTCAAAGACGTTTTATCCTTTGCACCATATTCCCTTTGAAAAGTAGGGATTTGGACCTCCTACTGTTTATTTACTATGAAATTAGAGCTAGTATTATGGGAGCTCAGTGCACACTGATAACTGCTTACAAAAGGTGATCCCTGACTCTGTGAGAATGCGCTTCTTCACAAGAACTATAGCTGTGTATGGAGTTTGAAGTAAGCCCACCTGTTTGTCATGTCCCCTCAGCATGGATCTCTGATCCAGATACTTCACAGATCTCTGGAGTAGCTGAGTGAGTGTGTGTGAGAGACTAGGCTTTATTTATTTATTTATTTGTAGAGATAGGCTCCCTCTATGTTGCCAGGTTGGTCTTGAACTCCTGGCCTCAAGCAGTCCTTCTGTTTCGGCTTCCCAAAGTGCTGGGATTATAGGCATGAGCCACTTGAGTAGGCTTTGAATGCAGCAGCTCATGCTGGGTTTGACCCCTCAAAATGGAGCTGCATAGCATATATAGTGGGTGTCTGCTTAGTGGCTCAGCATACGCCAAAACACCATGCACAATGGAGAAAGCAGGAACTGGGGATCGAAAGCTAATAGGCTCAGAATTCTAGCTCTGCTATTTGCCATGAGACACTGGGCAAAGCACATCTCTGATCCTCGGTTTCTTTCTTTGTGGAGAGAGTTATATCTATTTTGCAAGTCCTGATTATGCAGAGACATTGATCACATATCACGCAAGATCCAGTCGTCATGTTCTGTTATATCCATTTTGCAAGAATTCTTTATAAAGCCCTTAATATATGAGTGCCGATAGTAGTAATAACACTATGCAGAAGAGATGAAGAATATAGGAAATAATAAATTCATCAATATTCAGTGTTGGGAGCAAGAGACAGTGTGTGTGTTCTGTTTTGTTATATTTTGTTTTTAAAAAAAAAAAACAAACAAACAGTGAGCACCGGCCTTGGGCAGGTCGCCTGAGCTCACTCATCTCAGCTGCCTCCCCACGCGGAAGCTGGCTCCCTTGTTGTAAGGACCAGAGCACAAACATGAGAAGCCTTTGCAAACTAAAGCACTCTCCAAGAGACACTGTCAAGCCATCATTTCCATGCCTCTGTACTGTTGCTTGCATTTCTACTTTTCAATACCCACCATCTTCAGCGAGGAGTCATTTCACGTGTACTTGTAGCTATGCCATCAGGCACTTATGATATATACTAAATCATCCCAGAGGCCCGGCGTGGTGGCTCACACCTGTAATCCCAGCACTTTGGGTGGCCGAGACGGGCAGATCACTTGAGGTCAGGAGTTCAAGACTAGCCTGGCCAACATGGTGAAACCCCGTCTCTACTTAAAATACAAAAAATAGCCAGGCATGGTGGTGCGTGCCTATAATCCCAGCTACTCAGGAGGCTGAGGCGGAAAAATCACTTGAACCCAGGGGACAGAAGTTGCAGTGAGCCAAGATCGCACCACTGCACTCCAGCCTGGGTGTCAGAGTGAGATCCTGTCTCAAAAACAACAACAGCAGCAACAAAGTCATCCCAGAAAGCCATGGTCATAAAAATACTTGCCAGAATCCCATAATAAATTTTACTTACATTTTAAGTTCATTTGTTGAAACAGAAACATTTATTTCTCTTACTTGGCAACAAAGAAACACACATTTAGTCTGTGTTAGTATATGTGCCTGTGTTTACAGATCATTTTACAGGTCCATAATATGAGTGAATTTGTATCATTTTCTTTTTGTTCACCATTGTGATCTCTGTGCCTTTACCACATGAATATCAATTTGCTGTGGACAACTGCCCGATCCGGTTACAACCTGGCAAATCTTATCCAGATTTAAGAAAATGACTCTGTAACTTTAGTCTTGTTGCTATTGAGAGTCAAATGACTGAGTTTATCTTCATTGCCTTTTTCTTTCCTAGGTAGCTTTTAAGTCAACTTGTTTAAGTCAGCTTTTAAGTTTGAAGAATAAACTCATTCACAAAACACTTAGAATAATCCAAAGTAATAGATGATATTTTGGCACCAGTTTTGTGTGGATCGTTCACACATTTCCCTCTATGCCAAAAGCACGGTAGAAAGATGAAAAATATTTCAGCCACCTCTCTTGTCACACATGACAACAGGATGCCTTAAAATATATGATGCTGGGCGCAATGGCTTACATCTGAAATCCCAGAAGTTTGGAAGGCCAAGGTGGGTGGATCACCTGAGGTCAGGAGTTCGAGATCAGCCTGGCCAAAATGGTGAAACCCCGTTTCTATTAAAAATACAAAACAATTAGACGGGCATGGTGGCGCGTGCCTGTAGTCCCGGCTACTCACGGGGCTGAGGCAAGAGAATCGCTTCAACCCAGAAGGCGGAGGTTGCAGTGAGCGGAGATTGTGCCCCTGCACTCCAGCCTGGGTGACAGAGCAAGGCTCCATCTCAAAAAAAAAAAAGCATTCATTTTAGGGTGAGACTTACTATGTTTAGGCCCCATCTCTGCTACCAGACATGTGTCTTGATAAAGTTACTTGGCGTAGCTACTTTAACGAGTCCAACTAGTTGAATTATATAACTAGATAGTAGGCTCCTACAGAACGCTTCTATGTCGTTATGCTTATGAATGTATTTTTCAACTTTTATATGATTATTTCTTAGTTTAAGAAAGCCAGCAGGGACCAAAAAAAGACACTTCTTTGACCTTAAGACGGCAAAAGATGTGAAAACATGGAGATGTGTATTTTCAGAATTTTGTAGCCATCACACATTTAAGATTTTAATGGACTTCAAGATGCTAATAGATATTTTGAAATTTCTCTGGAAATTCACTTGGTTTTCAGCTCCAAGCTGAACAAGGACCACGGGCAGCCAGGTGTAGGTATTTTGTAAGCCGCAGCTTGAGATGGTCGTACCTGGTGATGCTCTGTAAGGAGCTAAGAAGGCAGGACCACACGATCCTATTAAAAGGTAGCACTGGATGGCCTTCTTTTTAGACATGCTCCACTGAAGCCTTTTAGTCTACATGGGAAGGAACCAAGGCCCAACAAGTTTAGGTGACTGTGTTAGTTATTGGCAGATTCATGTGTGGAGCCTGGGTCAGCTGATTTTCAGGACAGGGCTGTCTCCTGAACCATTCCGGCATTTGGAGAGCAATGAACACTGCATGACATGGTTCTTCCTGCTCTGTTGGAAGAAGGCATGGCATTTTAGAGCACAGAAATTCATCAAACATTGAAACATTTGCTGTTGTATTGACACCATCTTTTCTTTAGGAATGATCTTGGAAAAAACTAGGAAAAGTTATTCCATGGACCAGTGATGACCAGTTATTGTTCCTTTTGTCAACAGGCAAGATGATGATGAATGAAGTCCTGGCAGCTTCCTGTGTCCCAGGCCTTGTAGAAATAAATGAGACAGACGTGCTTCAAAGTTCTAATGTGCATCACATCGGATCTTGTTTAAGGAAGCGTTAAAAGGAACCCATCGTTACCTATTGAGAAGGCTCTGTGCTCTCAGGCATTGTTTCTGATTGAATCCAGAGGTTGCAAGCATGCCTCCCTGTATTACCTGTTGGAGCAGGTTTAATTTTATAAATTTTAAACACAAACTCTATGAGTTTCTAGTTCATAATTGTTCTTTTTGGGGATCCACTCAGATGAACAGTATTGCATCTGTAAGAGATACCCACTTCCACAGGACCAGATTTCATTGCAATATCAGTGGCAACAGACTCCATCTGTAGCATCATCCAGTACCAGTGATGGGAAGGACAGATGGCAAGGAAACCCTTCGGGGGGGAGAAAAAACGTCATATTGTGTTGGACCTACAGATTACTAGAACCATAGCTTTAGTAAACCAAGGCTTTTTTTCTTGAACACAATCTGTGTAGACTGTGTAGTTCTTGATTGGTGGCTTTAATCCGTTATCATTAGGTATCTCCTTGAACATTCTCAAACACTGAAAATCTTAAGCTTTCATTAAAAAAAAAAAAAGTAAATGCAGCTTTCAGAAAATCCAGGATTCAGTACAGTCTTCCGAGTGTTTGACTTCAGCCTCCCTGTCCTGTAATTACCAACAGCAGGTACCCGGGTGGTAGACAAGAAGCCTTGCAGGATAGATAAGGAAATGAGGAGGAACAAACATATCACATGGTATCATAAACATACTTTATAAGTACATTTCTTATTAGCTTCTTATTCGGGCAGAGATTATAAAAGTTTGCTGCAAGTATCCAGACCAGGATTTGTGTTTTGGAAATTATCAGTGTTCACAATACCTGCAGGGAAGAAAAAAATATAAAAACTCAAATATGAATACTGTTTACACCCAAAAGAACATTTTTATCATTCTTTTCTTTGTTTTTGGCTCTGTCAAAAATTAAAGTGCTTGGAATGCTGTAGTCTGTGGTCTCTTGAAATTTAATCAATGAGAACCTAGCATTTTCACAGTATGCTGTCACTTTGGACATTCATAATAAAAATTGAAACTAATTTTGGTTGTTAGTCATTTATTTGGCTGTGTAGCTTAGTGCATCTTTTGTGGTCTGTCTGTGCCTAGTAACTGAGCAGTCTGTGTGTATAGAGATGTAGAGATACATTCATAGTTGAAGCCTTTCACTGTTGTTTTCTATATTTGAACAACCACTCTTTTTATTTATTGAAAGGCCAAGAGATTTTTGAATGCCAAGGCCTTTTTGAATATGCATTCTATAACACGGATTAAAATTAATTCCTGAGGATTATATCTAAGCTTTCTTGAGTTTCTCCTTACAGCAGATTTTCTATTAAATTGATTATAATTGTATTTTCTATTACAAGTAGTAAGTAGAAAACTAGAGAAGGCTATAGGTAATATAGTGGCAATTATAGGCTTTTCAATAGGATCTTTATTTGTTTGATTCTCTGCCTGGTAGTGTTGGAATATTGTTTTATGTATTCCATCATACTGCAGTAAGAAATAAAACAGCTCCAAAGAAACACAGACATGTGAGCCTATGTAGAAACTTAGATCTTGCTTGGCACCTGTACCAAATTTGATATGGCAATGAGAAAAGATCCCTTTCCTTCTATTCTTTTGTAACTAAACCTGCAATTGGCAAACATCCATCTAGCTCCCACTTCCCACCCCGTCAAGCCCCCACCTCCCACAAAGGAACAGTATGGATTTGTGACTAACTTCACCATTCTTGTGCACATATGAGCAAATGATTTGGGAAATTAAATGGGGAAAAAAATAGAAGTTTCTGAGGTTCTTTTCGGTGGATAGGGTGACAGGAGAAACAGAATAGCAAATGAAGTTAAAAGAGGATCATTCCTTCAGCACTGGGTGCATATGCAGTCAGCACTTAGCTGGAGGTGCTTTTCCAATGACCAGGTGCACACGAAGGCCCATCTGTTGGAAGAGTAATCTTTTTAAAATCCCAAGGCAGCATAATAGGGGCAGAGGTTGATGCTTTTGTTCCCTGGATGAATTCCCTTTTCAGAAGCTCCTGCTCCCCTCGACCTGAGCATCTGGACAGGCTCTCTGTGTGAATCGGCATGAATATTGAACAGTCCGCACTCCATCCCTGCTTCAGTCCATGGCAAAGGAAAGCTTTCAAAAGTCACCGTCCTCCAGGGACTCGAAGCATTTCGAGCTGGTTTTTAAAACAGTATTAAGTGACTTTGACAAACTGAAGCTATTTGGTATTTGCACAATTAGAAAGAATCCCCCATGGGGGTTGTTTGGCTTTGTGAGTAAATGCTGGCCTCTCACTTGAATTCCAATACAGAGATCTCATTCAAATGAGATGGGTGGTCTTAGGCAATTTCTTTGTGGTTAATAAATTCCTCATAAGGGGGGAAAACTATTTCAGAATGGCCTCCGCAAAGGAATTACACATAGATGATTACTTTTATCCAGAGTAATTTGTGTTTTAAATGATTTTAAAGTATAAGCAGTTAAGAAAGTCATGAAATTTGATGCTTTAGAAGAATGCCTCCTTTCATTCATTATTAATGATTTCCCCAAATCCACTATTTCTGCATCTATGTATGAAAATTGAAGAACATTCCAGACTATGGTGGTGGCATCAAATCCAATCATTTTTATAACTGGGCTTTCTTTTGGAGGACTCTTTAAAGGTTACAGAAAGAGGCAGCTTGGCGCAGTGTGTAGACTGGCACAGTGTGTAGACTGGCACATAGTTACTGTTTTATAGATGTTTTCTGTATCTTTTAGTATCTGTGAAAAATATTATATTTACTCCTTTTATTTCTTCTGAGGCACACATCTCTTTCAAAAACTTTTTTTAATATCATAGAAATATATTCTATCTGTGAGCTATAAGGAAATAAAATGATGCTCATTTTCATCCATTCTTACATTATTTCAAAACTAAATCATTTCTCAATCCTATAAGATATAAATCAATTGCCTATTATTGTAGATGACTTAGGAAAGAAGATTGTAAACTAGAAAAAATATACTTGCATTTTTAGTCCAAACTTTTAAAACTACAAGTTCAAGTACTGTATTCAGATATATTTTCTAAAAAGATATCATTCATAAAATTAATGCAAATTTTAAAATCCACTAAAGGATCCATAGTGCTAGAAATAAATGTGGCTTTCAGATGGCTGTGACTCTCAGCTTGCACAACTGGGAAAAAGCCCGAATGTGCCTCTTGTTCATTTTGTCCGCTTGATCATGGGATGGGAAGAATATTACTGAGTGGAAGCAATTGCTATTGCAAAGATGTTTTGCAAAGCTTTATGAAGACTGTGGCAAATGTTATCTTGTATCTCAAGGGACCTTGTGTGGAGAGTTGCACTGATATTTAGAAGTTCCCACACATGGTGTCACACAGGCCAAGAGCCACAGCAGTCAGAAATGCAAGGGGGACCTCCCTGCTTCTTACAGCATCATTCCCACCCTTTCATTACAACAGAAAAGGAAAAAGCTAACGAGGAAAAGGAAGTAACTTTTGCCAGAAATGTCCATGCAATTGCGGGCTTTCTTTCCCCTGTGTAATGTGAGTGCAGAAATGTCCATGCGCTAGAGGGTTTCCTTTTTTTTTTTTTTTTTCTCCTTTAGATGGAGTCTCACTCTGTGGCCCAGGCTGGAGTGCAATGGCATGATCTCGGCTCACTGCAACCTCCACCTCCCAGGTTCAAGCAATTCTCCTGCCTCAGCCTCCCAAGTAGCTGGGATTACAGGCACCTGCCACCATGCCTGGCTAATTTTTGTATTTTTAGTAGAGATGGAGTTTCACCATGTTGGCCAGGCTGGTCTTGAACTCCTGACCGCAGGTGGTCCACCCGCCTCGGCCTCCCAAAGTGCTGGGATTACAGACATGAACCACTGCACTCAGCCCAAGGGCTTTCTTTATCCTGTGTGATGTGAGTGCACTCACAAGTACACATAGCATGGGACTGGAGGCCATAAGCAGAGTGACTAGAATCCTCTTAGGCCACAAAAAAGCAAAACTCTCAAAGGTGAGGCCTGGCTGGGGACTGCCAGGAGAGCGCAGGGACCAAGAGGCCAGCTCTGGGTTCTGCAACACGAGCTGGGCTCCAGTGCCCCAGAAAGTGATTCCCAGGTTCTCACCTCATGTACGGCAGGTGTGGCCACAACCGAAGCCCCACCTTCTTCACACTGACTCCAGGTCCTGTGCTTGTTTTTTTTTATTAGAATCTTGCAAATTTGTCTCCAAATACCAATATTCCTTCATTCATCCAACACGTATGTATCTAGTGCTTACTAAATACACAGTGCGGTGCTTGAGATCAGAGATGGAACAGTGCATTAAAATTATGCTTGAGCACGTCAGTAGAACGTGCATGTTCAATGGGAATACGGGTGTGTACTGCAGCTTAAGCACAAGATGAATGCAAAGGAAGCTCACAGAGGCAGATGCAAATCAGTAGTTTTCCTAAAAATGACTTGTTCCTTATTATCTCAACTTGCCACTATCGTAAAAAAGAAAATAGTTCTTACTGTTTAGTCTTTTGCTGTTTCCTAGCCAGTAACACATTTATAGTTTTATTTGGATTGGAGAACCAAGAGATTATATTGACTTATACTAGTGAACGCCTCTTTTCTAAACCCTGAAACTCTAGCAAGGATACAGGTCCCATCATCCATGAATGCTGCCGTTGAATTCAACATGAGAAGTGACCCGTTTCATCTGTAAACGGGGTGGGGGAACTCAAAATACTTTCAAACACAAGGACTTTGGCTTTACAACGTTTGGAAAATTACAGACAGAACACAAGAAACTATATCAAACCAAAAGAATTCAATTTCTCAAGAGATCTCTCTTATTAAAAAAAAAAATGTGTATTTCATGGAATAAGGATAGACTATGTCAAGAGAGTGGGATAGAAAGAAAGTTATTCTTTTCTGAACTTGGTTTGGTTTTCCTGGGGCCATCTTAGCAGTACACAGAAACAATGCTAGTTTTCCCAGATCCCCGTCACAATGAACAGTTGCATAGAAGTAGGGCTGATTGAATGTTTTCAGTCTAGTTGTATCTGACTTAGAAAGATGTTATCATTAAATACAAAAGGAGAAACTAAAGCCAACAGATAATCGGAGAATTGTGGATTTAATTCAGCATTAGCTACGATCTTTTTCTCAGGCAGAAGGATACATCAGATCTAAGTACAGGAATTTAACTAAATGGAATGTCAGATTTATGATATGTAGGTTTCCTTTGGAAATCCAGACATCTCTGTCCAGATGTGAAGACTGTAGAGAATACATGTTGTTTAAAGCAGATTCTTAACTTGAATAAGTACAAGCATGACCACCCCCAAATCATTTGCTAATCATTGTTTCTTTGACTTCAGCCAAGACACAAGCAATAACGTTCCTTCCATTCAACTAAAATCCTACTTAATTCCAAGTAAACGTAATAATTCCTCAGTATGCTCAATCAGACCATCAAAACCTTCGAGCTGAGGATCCCCAAGATATTACAGCAACAGACTATTTTCTAGCACAGTTGGGGCTTAAGGTTTTTCCAGTGGATCTCCAGTTTTTCAGGAATTTGAATACATTTTTTAAATGCACTAACATAAATGCTCTACTGGATATAATCCTAACAGTCTTTGCTGTTGCAAAGGCCACCAGGACCTTGAGGTGCTCCGGGTCTGGGTTAATGCCCATAGGGTTCACCATGCTGGACTGGGGGCCGCAGCAGCACCAGGCACAGAGCTCAGTTCATAAAGCACCAGCTTCTAACATAAATTGACATTAACGACAGTCACTCTCCTCCCAAGGACAGAGCAAAAAGGAAACCCACTTAATAGAACAGATGCAGTTAGTGTATTTTAGCTCATCCCTTAAACAGTCACTAAATACCGGCATCCCATTGGATTTGTCTGTGCTTACATCAAAGAAGTTTCTTCTCTTACCAAATTCCTTCCATCACCCGTAAAGAAAGCACATTCCTTCACTCAGGTGTGTCTCCTCAGCTCCTCTTAGCTCAGTCTTCAGTTTGCTTCTT